ATCACTATAGTTATCTAGACACTAAAGTACCTCCTCAAAATGCCAATATTTACAGCCTGGAGAGGAGGTAAACTTTGTTGAGGGAGTGAAAAGGGCAGTATGTCCTAATGCATTTAAAAATGCACTTCAATTTTAGTTTATTTAGTTCATTAGTGAATATGTCACCAAAGGGTACAGAAATATTTCTCTTTCTGCTGGTTTCTTTCCTTTTTTCATTGTAATATCTGCACCCCTGGTGGGTGTGGAATAGAGGGTAAAAAACTAGTAACTGATAAGATCTTAGGCCCCAAGTCAACAATGCATTGAAACAGTGCTGAATCAGAATATCAGTGAACTGAATACAGGAATGGACTAAACTTACGGTACAATACTGCATACATCATTCCCGCATGAAATCTCTTCTCTTGCCATGGTTTAGTAGATTATAATTAGAGCTGGTTGAAAAATTTTGAATGTTCAAAATTTGTAAAAAGGTTTTGATTTTTTTCCAGTTATTTTTACAAAAAATATATGGATTGTCAAAAAATTGTAAGCTTGACAGTTCCAAGAAAAAAGTTGAATTTTTTTTGCAAGAGAGTTTCTAATTTTTGTTATGATGTTTAATAATGTAGCTTTGTTTCTGAGATGTAAGCAAAAATTAAAGAAAACCCCACAAACCCATTTAACAGAAAACAACCCACAAGCTTTAAAGGCTCCAAGTTCCATATTGGTTATCTGACCTATAAACAGACTTTGCATGTGTTGTCATTCCTTCAAGCATGACAGACTGGAGTCATTTAAAACAATTGGGGTGTTCTGTTTGCCATGAAAAAGGAAGAGCAAGAAGAAATGGCAGGGTTAGTAACAGGTCTCTGAGCTGTACTTTGGACCCCGACCTGGCTACTGGTCTTTCTAGTGTACCGTGTTGGTATTTTCAAGGCAAAACTTTGATGATGATGATGATGATGATGATTTTTTAAGAACTGCAAAATCTCTTTCTTTGCATCTCAGACTAGTTTGTTTGATGGCGCTACAAGAAAGCAAACTGACAATGGGAACAACTGCCTGGTGGCATCCTTACAGCAAAGGACTGCACACAGTAAATTAGAGCTTACGAGAAAAGGAGCTCTAGCTGCCTGGAGGTGGAAGGTGGTGCATTAATAGTGTCACTAGTAGGCAAGACAGCTATTCAGTTTGGTGAGGAGGCTACTCATCCTGGGAGGGTATAGTGCATCCCGGGCTGCACGCTTGCTCCCAGCAGAAATACCCATTTCCAAATGAGCGGCTACTGAGCATCTCCTTTCTATAGTGTGGATAACACCATGGTCTCCCCATATGCCATTCCCCCATGCAGAAAAGCAGAGTGTGCATCTCAGCAAAGACTCAATCCTGTATCCATTGTTGTTGATGGTAATGCTGCCATTGACTTCAATTGTGCAGGATCAAACATCCTATGTAAATCTCATCTCTGCGCTCTGTCAGCATCAAGCAAGAACTTAGAACAACAAGAAGCCCAAGGTACGAAAATAATTTCATGTCCAGAACCACCAGAGCTAATTGGGAAATGGAATTGCTATCCCACAGGAAATTTTGACATTTCAAAATTTGTTTTCCCCAAGAAAAGTGGGTGCATGGAGAAAACTTAAATATTAATTGACACGTTCACTTTTTGAAATTCTGCCTGAATGGTGAAAGAGGGACACTTGTTTCTGCACTTCTGCCTCATAAAATGTAAGTTATGTGGTTCAGTTCATATATACTGATCAGTGGATAGTCTTGAGACTAAAACTTAGTGGCTTAGTAAATGGATGACTGGTGCTATGTAGCTGAGTGAACTTTTCATTAAGTCCTGCTATTTTACCATAACTAACATGTCTCATTGAAACCTATTTTTTTTTTCAATTTGCCCCAGTCTTTGATGTATTAATAATATATGGAGATATACCTATCTCATAGAACTGGAAGGGACCCTGAAAAGTCATTGAGTCCAGCCCCCTGCCTTCACTAGCAGGACCAAGTACTGATTTTGCCCCAGGATCCCTAAGTGGCCACCTCAAGGATTAAACTCACAACCCTGGGTTTAGCAGACTAATGCTCGAACCACTGAGCTATCCCTCCCTCCAGTATTAATAGCTCCAGGAGGGCAAAGCTATTGAAATCATTAAAGTAGAGACTGGTATCACTAGGTTCAATTCACAAAGTCAATATGTAACTAGCTATGTGACTTTTTTCATGAAGTAACCTGATTTCCAACTACCAGACATTAAGACAGGGACAACTTAGGACCCAGATTTTCCAAACTGTGCATGTGCAAAAACGCATAGAAGTAAATGCCACTGTGCAAATGAACGGTCAATGCAACATGGTAATTTATACATTGGGAGTGAGTGAGGATCCTAGTGTCTACATATAACGACTAAAATGTGCGACATATTAAAGAAAAAGGACAAAACAAGCTATATAGTTAAGTGGTTTTAAAAAAATAAATAAATAAATTCAAGGGATGATTAACGTAATTACCTGAGGGTTCAAAGGCCAGATATTTATCTACTGTAAATAGGCATGGCTGCATTGACTTCCACTATATAATTATGCAAAAAGAACAGGAGTACTTGTGGCACCTTAGAGACTAACAAATTGATTTGAGCATAAGCTTTCGTAGCCCACAAAAGCTTATGCTCAAATAAATTTGTTAGTCTCTAAGGTGCCACAAGTACTCCTGTTCTTTTTGCGGATACAGACTAACACGGCTGCTACTCTGAAACCTATATAATTATGATCTATTTAGAAAGAAGGAGCATTTCTCAGTCCTTAATCAGAGACATTTGATACAAGGAAAGTACAGAAAACTATCTGGATTAAAATTATATGGGGCCCCATTTTCAGTGGAACCTCAACCCAACCTCAGCTTGTATGAACACTTCTTTTGCATACCCCATCCAGCAGTCCCATCTGTGCACCTGCATACCTAGCTGGTGGGACTTTTGCTTTCTCACTGTGATCTTCTGTTAGAGATACGAGGCAGGTGAGGTAATATCTTTTATTGAACCAACTTCTGTTGGTGAGAGAGACAAGCTGTTGAGCTTACACAGAGCTCTTTTTCGGGTTCTTGATAGATCTTCTACGTCCTGCTGCTCTTCGTGTAGGCTTTTGAAATGAAGACAATTGGGCCATCTTCTCCTCTCCCCTTTTGCAGCATGGAAAGGTGCAGAATTGTCCTAAACACATGGAGTAGGTGTGGGGAGGCCCCAGGGAAGTGAGAGATAACTATGCACCCCCTGTGAAGTTGCTTCTTGTGCCTCTGGAAAAAGCTCAGCTCCCTCAAGATAGATGGATATGGGCAGCCCAAAAGGGGAGAAGTTGAGGAAACAGCCCGTCTCTGTGATGTGTTCACCTCTCAGGATAGAGTGCAGTTTGAATCATCACTTGTTATTGTTCTGGGCAGAGAAACACAAGCTGAGCACTCTCCCATGCCAGGAATTTTCAGCTGACCAGTTATGGCCAGATTCTGGCCCTCGATGCCATCACAGCACTATGGAGAGGCTAGAACAGGGGAAGGAACCTGGCTTATTGTTTGTGGGGTCACAAACTCTAACTCCTACAAACTTTACTCATGTGATCAGTCCTACTTACTGCAACAGGACTGCTCACATAAGTAGGATTTTCAGGAGCAAACCCAAAAAATAGATTATTAATGGAGAAAGGGAACCTGAGTGTTAATAAAGGGGGAAAAGAAGAATATGCCCAATCGTTGTTCAAAGAGTCGTTTATATGTAAGACACTGTAAACTGAAATTGAATTCACTCATTTTCATGTGTATAAATCCATAGACTTGTGATTAACTGATCTATTAGCCTCTTTAGTCCTAACAATTACGAAGTTATCTACTAGGAGCAGATCCCTAACTGGTCTGCTTGCACTTTGCTAATCACACTGTTGTTTGTTAGTTACAATGAGATCCACTGCATTTGAATTGTCTGCTAACTGAGCCCCTAAAGCCCAGAGCCCAATCCTGCAAGGTGTTCAACATCCTCAGATTTCAGTGAAGATGGGAATGGTCAGTACCTCTCAAGATGCACTTAGGACATTGCAAGATCAAGACCTAAAGATGTGTGAGGACTCACGCTTTTATGTTATTTCTTTTAGGTATTCGTGTAAAAGATATTTGGGAAGGGGGAGGTGAATTTTTTGCACAGCTCTTTAGATAGTTTATGAGTCATCAGTGGTGCCAAAATTGTAAATTATGAAGACAGTCTAAGGGCCACATTTTCTAAGAGTTCCAGATTTTCAGAAAAGCTTAACATGGTGGATATTGCACTCTTTTGAAAATCAGACTGTAAATGTGCTAACGGCAGCTACTAAGCACTTCTGAAAATCTGGCCCTTATTCACTGCCTTTATGGGAACTGAGCTTCTTTGAAAATAAATTCCCAATTCTGAGTGTGAGCATAGGAAAACTCTCCTGATTGTACTGTTTGGAAAATCTGGCCTCTCATACATGAGAGACAGCTCTGTGTGGCTTAAAAAGCTAGAGTTATTGTTGATGTTTGCTGGTGGTTTGAGAGGTTTTTTTAATATTGTTTGTGGTTTCTAGACAAAAATTATTTCTGGAAATTGCAGTATATTGAGGAGCAGAAGTTTTCTTTATATGTTGTAATCAGACATTGCGGCTTCAAAGGCCAATATCTCAGCCATTTGTTACCGTTCACAAGTGCTAAGCCATGTTAATCGAAAAGGGGGGTTGTTTTGGATGCTGCATGCAACTTTACTTGCTATGTGTGTTATATTCTGTAGCTCAGAACAGTGTTCCTCTTGCCATCTGCAAATGCTTACTACATTAGAAGAGGGGGCAAAAAGATTTGTATAAATGCTCGATTGTTCTGAATATGTAGGCTGGATAAGTATGACTGGAATTGGGGTTGTGACTCTTGAGAGCAACAGGATGCAAATCACAAGTGTTACTTTTACATTCCACTGGAAATTAAACAAGCTGGGTCTGAAGAAACTGTGCTCCTTTTTTAGGACATAGATGATTGCAACCAAAAAGCCGTGCAGCAAGGCTCAGCAGGTGTCAATACTGACGAGGAAGCAGTAAAACAAGAGAACCCCAAGGCATTTGCCACAACAGACAACAATAATTCTGTCATGAGTTTCTTTAAAATGCTGGTAAGTCTTTGCCTACAGTTTTGCTCTATAGGGAACACCTAAAAACAAAGACTGCTTATTAAATTCCAATCTATATGCATCTATGAATGTCTAATATGCTCATTATCTCGGGTACCAAAGATTAATGTTGTAAAACTGAACTGATGCCTTAGAGAATGCTTAGATTGATAGGGAGAGAAAGAGACTGTGCAATAGTTACTTAATGGTACTGATTAGGAAAACGTCCTCTACTCTTATAGACTATTTTAGAACCCAAGTCATTCAGTTCTGTTAAAAATATTTTCCGTGAGTTAAAACTTGCTTTGAAAATGTCTAAATATACAAACAAAACAATCATCAGTTACTGGCAGCACAAATGTAAGTCAAGGAAGAGACAGGAAAACCATTAAGTACAAGGAAGAATAATAGTTGTTAATGAGAGAGGAAGCTGGGTAATGAAAATACTAAATTAGCAGTGCACAAGGACAGCAAATGCCATAGGTCATGATTGGGTTCACCTTTAGGGAATAATAGAACCTGCAGGTTTCTCTAATGTATTTTTTATTTTTATTTTTTATCTTTCCAGACACTGTCTCAAAATTACATTCAGGAAATGAATTCATCTCATATTAATATGCAATAAGTCTTTCCCATTTGGAAAGCAAAATAGAGTTTGATATTTGTAGGTTGCATGTGTATTCTTTCCCTTATTGTCATAGATAAGCCTGCTGGGTTCTAACTGATGAAATTTCAGATCCTTCCTAATAAAAGAAGCTGAATTTGGACATATTTCATCCACTCTTACAGTATTTTGTTTTCTCAAATATTTAAGGTTTCACCAAGCAAATCAGAAGCCAAAAGTGACTCTGAGGACAAGGTAGGCAGTTTGCTTGATGTTTTTCTCTCTCTCATTACCATTACAGTGTGCTCAGATTGGCTTCAATGCTATACTTTCTTCTCCTGTGCCTTCCCTTCCTCTGTACATGAGGTTACTGTTTGTTGTAATGAAACAAACAGTAACCTTTCAGAAAAAAAATACAAAAGAAGAAAGATGACCATAGACTAGTCTATTTTTTCCATTCAGTTTCAAATACTGTGCTGACTGTACTACTTAATTCACTTCCCGTGTTAGACGTTTGAAGCTGAAATAGTAATATTGTTATATTGGAAGTTATTTAGATTCTCAAACTAGATGACTTTGGGGTTTCTGGATGAAATTCTGGCCCCACTGAATTCAATTGCAAAATTCCCATTAACTACTATCAGGTCAGGATTTCTTTATGATTTTGCTTATACAGATGTGCAAAGCTGCCAGTTTTCACTTCCTATTATTTAAATGTGAATATAGATATTTTTCTTGAGGCCTTGCATACAGGGAGACATTCTCACCTGTTTGTACAGAGGGTCACCGAAGTCCTTCAGCACAGCAGAACTGTAGCTATTCTGTATAGGGTGTGGCCAGCTGTGGAACAGGTCTATAGGAAGATGACAACACATTCTGCTCTTGCTGGAGCTGGGGTCTAAACCAGATGCCATTGGTGGGAACAAACCCACAAGGGGTCTGATCTAACTCCCATTTTAGTCAGTGGGAAGACTTCCAGTGATTTCAGTGGGACCAGACCTGACACCTTCATTGTGTGTCTCTAGCATCCACACTAGGCGCATGCTGTAGTTGGAGGGGCTGTACTATTCCTGCTAAGTAGCTGAACATTGCACCCTGCTCCTGATTTGTGAGGTAAATTCTGCCTCCCCCCCACACCTCGGTATAATTCTCTCATTTATTCAGGCATTTGAGGACATGGGGAGGTGAGAGTCAGTTTCTTCATGATGATTTTAAAATGGGGTAGAAAGAATGTCCAGACTCTTCTAATGTAATGCAGCGTGCAGACTGCAGTCTCTCCTACAGTCACATTTCCTTCCCACCGCCTAGCAGCTCGTGAAAATCAGCATAACCTTCATAGGCACAGACTTTATTGGAGTTGCACTCCTTTATACTAGTTGAAGATATGGCCCGTTGTGCCAATTTCTACATGCTGTTACATCTAGAGTCTTGCCGCTGAAGTTATTCTGGATTTACTCTGGTGTAACAGAGCAAAAATTGGCCCATCAAATGTGTGAGCTCCAGGAATCGTTATTATTGTAGCTCTGTGAAGCATTATTATGGTAGTAGTCTTATTATTGTGCATATCTGAAACCTGGCATTGTCCAAAGTTTGCGACAATTGCATATGTTCTGGAAGCTGTTTTTAAAAACACAAATCATTCTAATAGAAACAAGTATGCCTTGAAGGGCTGCTCTTGATCCCATTTTGAAGTCAGTGTCAAAAATCATAATGGCTTCATCATCAGCAGAATTGGACCATCCGAATATATAATGTAGCTTAATAATGCAATGTTACAGTAGCCTACTGGAAAACTGTTGACAGTGTGAATTAGACAGGAATTCCCGGTGAACCTGGTCATCCGTTCATATGACTATAACTAAATAACCTCCTACATTATTTTTATTAATTAGATTTTATCAAATGCATTCAGAGAAATAGCATAAAGAGAATAAAACAGTTTCAAACTGACTTCAGACTTCTGTATATTCAGTAATAAAAAATAACCGTTAATGTATTTCTTCTTTTATACCAATTTCCTGCTATTCTTTATGTCCCTTTAATTCTTAACAACCAGCCAAATTTTGACAGTTTGGACATGTAATAGGTCATGCACACAATTACCTAACTTGTCCATGCAACTCTGTCAACTGCCCCTGACTACCAGGGATGAAATTTTCATAGGAGCCAACAGAAGTAAGGCACCCAAATCCAATTGAATTTCAATGAGATTTGGATATCTAGCTGTCTCAGGAGCCTCTTAAAATCCCAGCCTACATAGACAGTTGCATGCCTGACTTTGTGAAAACCAGCCTGATATTTCTGCAACATATGACTGTAGATATAGGCACACTGAAGTTTGGAAACAAATATGCTGTTTGGGTTTGGTTTGCTGACACACCTGTAAAAGTAAACATGTCCGGGTGCCTCCAGCAGGATATGCAAATCAGCCTTTGTGCACAATATACAGAGATTGCTGGGAGTGCTTTCTACAAAGAACACATTTTTACTTCCAATAATCTTTTTTCCAGAATTAACACCACGACTAAGCATTTAGATTGGCAAGACAAATAAATCCTCACTCCTGGTGAGAAATCATATTTTCACTCAATTCAAGAAAAAAATAAAATAAAAAGAAGATAACATTTTGTGTGTTTGTTTTGTTTTGCACTAAATTTTATTCCCCCTTCCCCTCCCATTTCAAAATCAGTTTGGTAGGAAAAGAGCGAGGAACAAATAATGAATTTCTGATAGAGATGAATTCATAATCAATGATTTTGCTCAAAACAGGAATTTTGCCACTTTCACCATATTAAAAACCCTGTCAGCAAACAGGAGTACTAAAATTTGACCCTAATTCCAGTTAGGACTTGGTCCTCCCCTTAGTTAAATCAATGGGAGTTTTACCATCAACTTCAGTGGGAGCAGGAGCAGGCTTTTCTTCATGAATACAACAGGGAACGGTTTTTATAGTGCAACCACTTTGTCCACAGAATAAGTTCTATCTAAGTATGTGTCTTCATTGCAGAGTTAGCCCATACTCTTACCTGCATGTTGCCCCTAACTCCACTCGTGTCCTCACCCAACTTCGGTTGTGCTTTCAACCCAAGCTAGCTGGCACAGCTGGTGCTAAGGGTTAGAGTCCGGGTTCCACTTCATCTCGAACTGGTAACCCACCCACTTTGCAGTGAGGACGCATTTGAGTTCTGATAGTCCACCAGGGTCTTCCCACAATTCCCCCCAGGACAAACAGATTCTCCCACAATTCACTGGGAAGGAATCATAGAGCATCTCTTCTTACTGCAGCACAAGAACCATGAGATATGCCCCCAAAAGTCTTAGTGACACAAGCTGTGGGCAGCACAGTGATGACAAAGTAACTTGAATCATAGAAGATTAGAGTTGGAAGAGACCTCAGGAAGTCATCTAGTCCAACCCTCTGCTCAAAGCAGGACCAACCCCAACTAAATCATCCCAGCCAGGGCTTTGTCAAGCCGGGCCTTAAAAATCTCTAAGGATGGAGATTCCACCACCTCCCTAGGTAACCCATTCCAGTGCTTCACCACCCTCCTAGTGAAATAGTGTTTCCTAATATCCAAGTTAGACCTCCCGCACTGCAACTTGAGACCATCACTTCTTGTTCTGTCATTTGCCACCACTGAGAACAGCCTAGCTCCATCCTCTTTGGAACCCCCTTTCAGGTAGTTGAAGGCTGCTATCAAATCCCCCCTCACTGTTCTCTGCTGCGGACTAAATAATCCCAGTTCCCTCAACCTCTTCTCATTAGTCATGTGTCCCAGCCCCCAATCATTTTTGTTGCCCTCTGCTGGACTCTCTCCAATTTTTCCACATCCTTTCTGTAGTGGGGGGCACAAAACTGGACGCAATACTCCAGATGTGGCCTCACCAGTGCTGAATAGAGAGGAATAATCACTTCCCTCGATCTGCTGGCAATGCTCCTACTAATGCAGCCCAATATGCCGTTAGCCTTCTTGGCAACAGGGCACACTGTTGACTCATATCCAGCTTCTCATCCATTGTAATCCCCAGGTCCTTTTCTGCAGAATTGCCGCTTAGCCAGTCGGTCCCCAGCGTATAGCAGTGCCTGGGATTCTTCCATCCTAAGTGCAAGATGCTGCACCTGTCCTTGTTGAGCCTCATCAGATTTCTTTTGTCCCAATCCTCCAATTTGTCTAGGTCACTCTGGACCCTATCCCTACCCTCCAATGTATCTACCTCTCCCCTCATCTTAGTGTCATCTGCAAACTTGCTGAGGCTGCAATCCATCCCATCATCCAGATCATTAATGAAGATGTTGAACAAAACCGGCCCCAGGACTGACCCCTGGGGCACTCCGGTTGATACTGGCTGCAACTAGACATAGAGCCATTGATCACTACCCATTGAGCCTGATGATCTAGTCAGTTTTCTATCCACCTTATAGTCCATTCATCCAATCCATACTTTTTTAATTTGCTGGCAAGAATATTGTGGGAGACCGTATCAGAAGCTTTGCTAAAGTCAAGATATATCACATCCACCGCTTTCCCCATATCCACAGAACCAGTTATCTCATCATAGAAGGCAATCAGGTTGGTCAGGCATGACTTGCCCTTGGTGAATCCATGTTGACTGTTCCTGCTCACCTTCCTCTTCTGTTGAGTTGAATCACACTGTCATAGGATTAGCTGTTTTTTTACAAGTTGTTATTGGCCAAAGTTATCCACTTGACTGGAACAAATCTGCCCTCAACTGAACCATCTATTCAACCCTGTTCAACCCTTTGCAGTACTCCTGAACTTGTCCCACTATGTTCAACCCTTTAGTAGAGCGATGGGAATATCAAGAGCACTGCAGAACAGAAGAGGGTAAAGAAGAACTAGCCATTGTTAATCTTAATAGCAAACTCAACTATCATATAATAAAAGATCCAAGAGATAGGATGCAACAGAGTTAGGGGCAACTACATGCAAGAGAAGATCTAGGTGTCAGGATGACATCTAATTCTATGTTGGCTTCAGAGCTTTCTGCAAAATACTTCATATTATCCTGCACGATCCAGTGAACAATAGTGTCTTTAATTTAATTGATGGCACTGTAGACCAAACAATATTTATTGCTTTGGGACCTGGACCACTCAGTGTTCTTGTGGTTTCTATAAGTCAGTCAACTCTGATTGGTCAAAGCGTTCAAAAGCCTGTGATCAGTTGGTAGTTTACATTTTGGATTTGATTGGTCTAATCTGGCATATTCATATTTTTGAATGTATTAGGCCTGATTTTTAATTCATTTATAAATCAGGAGTACCTTGTTTGCGATAAATGGAGATACAGTGGGATAAGAGATCAGAATTAAGCCCAAGACATTTGCAAATAGCAAATAAAACAAACTTAGATTTAAATAAATATATTTAATTAAATATATTCAATTAAAAAAAATGTAAATAAAATAAAATAAAACATTCTACCATCCCACCTAAAATGAGATTATCACAATGGTCCCTTCTGGCTTTATAATCTATAATCTTAAAGAGCATGTATAATACACTGCATGTTTTTATTGACCACCACTTTACTTTCATACATTTATAAAAAGGCTGAATTTTTCTAAGAGGTGGATAAAGGAGGAATCTTAACTGGTGTTACCTGTGAACTCTATAGAGTATTGGCATTAATGTCATTACATTAATGAGGTTAGTTTGGTTCAGGAATAGAATTGGCCAAAAAGTTGTATGTATGGTTTGCAAAAACATGGTATTCTCTATTTTTAATTAATAAATTCAATAATTTTTTTTAATGAAAAAAACCTGAAAAACTGAGAGGATTCCCTCCCTCCCCCCCCCCCGCATTCTTTCTCTTCCTCTCCCCTTCCCCTATCACCTCTTACTATTTTGCCACTTAGAAAGATTGGGGTGGGGGGATTAAAAACTTGGAAATAAATCACAAATTTTGGGTTGGTTTGTTTTCCTTTTTAAAAATAGGAAAATTTCAACAACATCCAAAATACTGAAGAAAGTTTTCAGCTTTGAAAAAAGCCATTTTTTTCATCTAAGAATTCCAAATGAAAACTTTCATGCAGCTCCACTCAAGAGGTTTTCAGAGACTCCCAGACAGGTTAGCTATTTTAACAGACCAGCCTTCCTCAGACAGTCAATGTAAGTGGTTTTGCTCTGGAAATTCCAGCTGTTTGAAGCCATACTTCTAGCTCTGGTATCAGAGAGTAGGATACTCCTGATTCATGCTCAGATTGGAAGATCATTCCCAGAAGCAGTGTCCTCTTAAGGCAGTGTTTCTCAAACTGGGGCCGCCACTTGTGTAGGGAAACCTCCTGGCGGGCCGGGCCGGTTTGTTTACCTGCCCCGTCGGCAGGTCTGGCCAATCGGGGCTCCCACTGGCTGTGGTTCGCTGCTCCAGGCCAATGGGAGCTGCTGGAAGCGGCGCGGGCCGAGGGACGTACTGGCCACGGCTTCCAGCAGCTCCCATTGGCCTGCAGCAGCAAACCGCGACCAGTGGGAGCCGCGATCAGCTGGACCTGCAGACGGGGCAGGTAAACAAACCGGCCCGGTCCGCCAGGGGCTTTCCCTACACAAACGGCGGCCGCAGTTTGAGAAACACTGCCTTAAGGGAATATACAATGGGGTGACTTTAAAACATTTACTTCCTGATTTAAGAACGTTAGTACCTGCCCACTTCCTAATATTTCTCTGATTTTTTTTCAACATGGCTGGTAGACATTTGCATAAGTGTTTTACACATTTCCATATATCTCAGAATGTTTTGCACATGCATTTTAGATTAATGCATTAATGCAAGATTAATACATCTTTATTATTTATACATAATATTCAGAAACCTTTTTTAATATAATCAGCAGTACATCATTAGAAAAATCCTAAATAATAAAGATAAACCCTGACCCTGCAAAGATTTACACACCCACTTAATTTTAAGCACATGAATAATCCATCTGAACTCAAAGGGACTATTCATGTGCTCAAAATTAAGTAAATGCTTTAATCTTTGTAGAATTGCGGCCTTAGCATAATGATGAAGTTGGGGCCAAATTCGGATCTCATTTATACTAGTTTAATCTGGAGTGAAATTAATCTTGGATTTAATTGGTGTAAATTAATTCAGATTTTGGCCCACTGGACTCAGATTAAACATTCACATACAAATTCGTCTCTGATTTGTAACTCTGTTCAAATCACCTGAATTCCACTGAAATAACAGGAGGTTTGCCAAGTGATGACTGTCAAATTTTGATACTGTTCACCTAAAACAAAGTCCATGGGAACTGAGAGATAACTCTTAAACAAAAAATATAACATTCTTTTGGCATGTTATTGTCCAGGTGGATGAAATGAAATGTTTGGCTTTAATACACCACATGTAAGTGTTTTATTATGTATTAATTAATACTTAATTATGTATAATGAATAATGCATTAAAGGAAATGGAGTATGTAATAGACTATGAATGCTGTTGCACAAAAGGAATCCAAAGTGGAAAAGGGCCATGGTGGGCATCCTGCTCAGAAGACAGCAGCAGAATCCCAAGCTAAAGGAGCCAAGAAAAAGAAGTCAGAGAGTCCCAAATTAGGACACAAAACATTTAGCAAACTCTTTAGGCATAAGGTCTGTATATGATTCTAGCAAAAGTGGAACCCTGAGCAGTAACAGATGGCTCTTCTCGCAGGGTGAAGTATTAAAATGATTGGATTTAATATGGTGCAACTGAGATCGGAATCTGGTCAACCCTTAAATAATTTGAAAAATAATTACATGAGCATATACCTAAAACCTATGGGGAAAAAGTGTTTTGCAACATGGAAAAACTTCCCTCATATACCATCTGTGAATTCAGGATTCTGAAAGAATCCCTCTAATCCGCTAAAACCTATGTTTTTTTATTATTGTAATAAGTCATTAACACTAACTAAACTTACAATGACCATAACCAGAATACATAGAAGATTGGCACTGACAAACAATGAATTCTGAAAAAAAAGATCTCCTTCAATGGGATGCTAGCTCTAAGGGCCCAATCCAACTTCCACTGAAGACAATGAAAAAATTCCCATTGACTTAATTGGTCTATTGACATGCTTAAGTAAGGCATGTGCATAAATACCTTGCTGAACTGGGGCTTATAAACCCAAACATGCATTCAGTAGAGCTGGTTGGAAAATGGGATATTTTTCCTCTGAAATGCTTGAATTTTTATTGTAAAACTGAAACATTTTTGGCTGAAAACTGAATTTTGTTTTTGGTTGAAAATCTTTTTTGTTTTTCCTAATGAAACCTTGAGGAAAGCAGACACTTTCCATTAAAAAATTTCATGTAGTTGAAAATCCAGTTTTCCATAGGAAAAAGGAGTGTTGACAGAGAATTTTCAACCCAGTCCTAGTATTCAGTGTGTTAGATCTTAATCAAAGTTTTTGTCTTAACAAGGATGATCAAGATTTATGTTGTGATGCACTGTGGCTGGGAGGCAAAGAACAGTAGCATTATATCCCAAAGAATGTAGAATCAGAGACTCTTTAGTTGAGGGGAGGAAAATAATATTAATTGCATGCAAAAATTCCACTCAGACACCCACTTGGAATGTTTTGGGAGTAGGGGGCTTTTATAATAAGTAGCTATGATAGGGTTAGAGGTGGGGAGGAAGCCCTTCAAAACTAAAAAGAACATTTTATTCTCCACTGTTCACTAAAAGTTCCATGTTCCTTCATTTTTTTCTAGATTGGAAATGTTCATTAATTCTCATGGAAGGGATGACAGTCTTTCCGCTGCAGTTAAAACTATTGGGCACTGTCTAGACTAGGAAAATAGGTCATGTTTTGAAAACGTGACATCTAACATGTTCTAACTAACACATTTTTAAATAGTGTAGAGTATTTAATGCATTTAAAATAAGTTAGCTGGTCACAGTCTACCCCCTAGACCTCCCACTAGTGTCAAACATGACTAGCTAATATGTTTTTAAAAGGTATTTATAAATGCATACTTTTTATGTTGAATCTCACTCCTCCTTCTGTGGGGATTTTTTTATTGTGTTTTTCAAAGTGTGTGGGTGTTTTGTGTTTAAATATATAAGAAATTACCACACTATAAAACAAGTGTAAATAATATTGGGACTACAAATTGTGACACTCGCCAATGAAAAAGGTAGAAAGTTCAAAGTTGAGGCTAAAACACTACCCGGTTAGTTGTGGCAGAGGTCTCAAATCAGGACACTACCTTTTGTGCCACCACAGGAATGTCAGTCCTTTGTGTTGATTTGCTTCAAAATCTGAAATTACTGACATTAGTAACTTTACAATGGAGTGCCTCGTGTCTTAATTTCTGGTCCTATGACATGACAAACTGTAATTTAAACATGACACATCTTCTTAGGCAATTAGATAAAGAACTAATGTATTTAAAATGATGGCTAATTGGTTTAATAAAATGTAACTGTGAACAGTGCATTTTGAGAATACTTGGCTACTTGGAGTTTTTTGTATTTAATAGTCTTGTTAGCTTCAGTAATAATCCTGAAGTATCCATCCTAACTGAAAGAGGATAGCAATGGTTGAGATTTTTTGAAAAATCCATTGTTTTTCAGTGCTGTCACTTCTATAAAATACTAACTTCTAGTCAAAATAAGCATATTTAAAAACAAGTTTCAAATGTTGCTTGTGAGCAGTAACTGGAAACATGTTAAGCCTGGTACCCTGGGATTTTGTTAGCTTTGATGGGATTCTCCCAGCTGAATCCCCTGTGCATCACTAAATCCAGATCCTGAGTGTATGTCGCTTTGTGCTTAAATATAACTTTATTGATTTATGAAATTCCATCTGGGGTGGCGAGAAATAGTTAATTAACTTTCAGGTGCTACAGTTGAAGTCAGCTTCTGGCATTCACCCTGGAGTTCTGTAAATTACTCTGGACCATTGGAGCTAACCACAAAAGGGAAAGTTCATGTCTCCAGCAGAACACTCACACCTGTTCTTTCAAGAAATCTCCCAACAGCATGGCAGGGTGCCTAGAATTAGAGAAGCAGGAAGAGCATTTGCCTATATTCTAGTTTATTGCTTCTCTTCCTTTTACAGAATCCAGAATTTCCTAATATAAGCTTCCCTATAATTTGGAGTGAGCAGCTCAAGGGTCATGATAACTGGTTCAGTGAAGTCTGGATCTGGTTGCATAAACTGCATACTGCAAGGCTACCAGTGTCACAATAACCCCACAGATCACACTTTTTATGTGAACAAACTCCCAAATCGAAAAGCAAATCCCAGCCAAGACCAATGAGTTTTACCTGATTTTTTACATAAAATTATAAATTGGCCCTGGTAGGGAACTCTGTAGGGAGGAGGGGTGTGGGCAATGGACTCAACCTCCAACCACCAGTGCCGCCTCTCTGTAGCCACAACACCAGTTTATAGACTGGAAATTCCTAGCCCCTGGATCCACATAAGTGTGGACCTCATGAATTCTTCCCTAGGCTGCCCCAATGGTCTGCTCTGTCTGTTGATCATATTCAGAGATGATATATTCCAGGCACACTCCATGGCCTTTAAGGTGCAGAGATGCCCCACTGTGTGACCATTCTCTCTTTGCCGTCTCCCTCTCCCCCTGCATAGCCTTACCGCAAAACGCAGGTGCTTTAAAGGTGTGTGCAGACCTTCTGAACTTGAGTAAATGTTACTCCCTAAAGGTCTCAAGAGTACAGAACATTTACCTTCAGTACTGAATTAGGGCATACAGTGCTTTGCAAAACTCTGCAATAAGACCTGATGCTCAAACAATCATAACAACAACAAAAATCTACTTGCACTGTCATTTGTAATGGGCATAGCTCAAATATTAACCAGGCCCCAAAACAGAAATTAAAAACAAACATTACACGGCCTTATATAGCCCAAAATCCATCCTAGACAATTCTCTACATCAGCCGCACCTAGTATAATCAGATCCAGCTACATTTAAAGGCCTGATTAAGCAATTATTGCAGCACTATTTGCAATATCTTATCTGCATTTTGCTACAAAACATAAGCCGCAGTATAGCATTTATCACTCAACATTTCTTATCCCAGAAATTAAGACCCAGATTTTCAAAGACACCATTTTGCAAACAGTCCCCATCTATAAACATAAACCAGGGTTTGTACACATGCATTGAGGGTTGTATGTGCATACTCGCATATGCAGGCGCACACACACAAATGTGTGCCTTGTAAAAGCTATGTCTACTTTTTTTTTTTAATTTGTTATGACTTATACTAGGAAATGAGTTGGAGATTTTTTTTTCTTGAAATTACAAGTCTGTGAAAATAAATGCACCAGAACTGGCCACAAAGCACCTGACATGACACTCCAGTGTTTCTAAAGATATAAATAATTGGGTGGGAAAAGGACACAAAATGCACCAAATAAAGGTGACTGGTGTACTAATGGATGAGTTTCAGTTTGGTGATTTCCATAAATTAAGTATGAAAGCCCAACACCTTTTAGTAGCCAGCTGTACTCCAGTAAGGTAGAGCTGATGTAGTGTGTATCATTCTCTAGTAAAGGGCAATTCCTGTAGGTCAAGCAAAAGGTTTATTGCTGGAGCTGCTCAAACTACAGTTGCCTTGTTTCTTAAAAAGGGTAGGTAGAAGCAGGGCAGTCCAATTCAATTTACATGGCAGCTGGAGTCTGGACTTTCACACACACAATATGCACTGAAAAGAAAATGATTAGAGATGCAACCAATTCCTAAACTGTGTAACTGTGAAGAATGGTATTGTTCAAAACAAACTTGCCTTTGTGTTTTGTTTCCCTTTAGTCCACAAAAGAGGCCCCACAGACAACTAATGCCCAAGTGAGTAGATTTACTTACAGTCATCCATATATGATGCCATCATTTTTTAACTAATGTCACTGCCACATCCAGTCTGACCCAATGTATGAATGTAACAGTTAACAGACTTTGCAGTGGATGGATTTCTACTTCATTTACATCTTCCTTGCCATGAGTTCACTGCGTTACTTAACTCTGAAGTGTATGGTAATGCAATTTGTATGACTGATGCTGTACAAGTTGTGTTGTGCCGTGTTATATTTCTTGGGTAATCATGGTTTATTGGGTCATAGCTCTTGTCATGAGTGATGCTTGAGTGTGTTTTGAGTCCGTTTTCCTTTACGAAGTTTTAATGATGCTGTAACGATTTTTGTGTATGTCTCTAGGGTGCTGAACAACAGCCTGTCACCTCTGTCAATGTAAAATCTGAAAAAAATGCCCCTCCCTCTCAAGAATCACAGACAACAAAGCAGAATGCAAAAGCCTCTGAACCTGCAACTCAGCAGCAGGCAACAGCAGCAACTACCGAAGCCCCCAAAGATATGACTAAGGAGAGACCTGCACCTCCTTCCACACCATTGAGCAAACTCTTCTGGAAAAAGGTATGTCTAGATTTCAGAATTGTTTCCTCTGCTCCCCACCTCCCCAGTTTTGGGAGATGATATAACTGGATTCCTGATGAAGGAACCTAAGCCAAGAAGTTAAGCAGAGTCACATTTTTAAACAAGGTAGGTAAGTGTGAATGTCTGTGCAGTTACCACCATTGTGCATGTGCTTTGTGCAGTTGCCTGTGCAAATGGCTATTGATGGTTATTTGCACATATATTTACTTTACTAGTGTGTAGTTATGACTTTTCTGGAAAAGTCCTATATGATTTAATAAAGAGTAATAACTTTCTATAGAATTTTTGAACTAACCCTATGAATAGGTGATATAAATCTCTATTAAATGATATAGATTGGTTTAAAAATCCTTTAGAGATTATATTAATCTTTAATAAATTCTATAGGTTTTTAGAGTAATTTCCATAGAAATCTATTTCTTTTTATAGGAGTCACTTGATTTATTTAACTGTCTGAAAATCTGTCCCTCTCTGGGTCTGTTTCTTCTACTGGGTTTCAAACAAGAATGAACTTGCGTATAAGTTTGTGGGTTCAGATTGACTGCTTGGCAGCCCTTAGTTAAAACAATATATTTGATAGAAACTAGCAGGAATTATGAAAATGAAGCTGCAGTTTCTATGGTTCTTTGTGGTACATATACAAAAAGCTGGGCCCTTTCGAATTTTATTTACCAGAGGAACTGCACTAAACTATACTGATTCATTGTATTGTGAGTAACTGCCCTCCTGGGCTACTATTCAGATTTAGATGCCAAAAATGAAATGCTTCCAAATAAATAGATACTGATTAAATGAAGCCCATGAGCCTCTTTGTCTATAATTTCTGTGATGGACAGAGGAATTGGAGACATAGTTTGTGTATGCCACTGACACTGAATATTTATGGTGCTTACTAGTTCACAGATGAAGCAAGCATGATTTGCTTGTTTCATTTCACATCCAAGACAGTTTAAAGCAGTTGTCTGGGTTTATTATTTTGCTATGGCATTGGGTGAATCAGGTATTTGTAATGAAAGGAAGCCTGTAAAGTGGGGAAAGAGATATCTGAGAGCTTTCATATTGTTACGGAAACCATATCCACTTTCTGAATATGTCTGGCTCAACTGAGATGCATACTGAGCCTCAAGATGGGATAAGAAGAGAAACAGCTGAAGACAAAGGGACAAATCCATTATGTTGTAAATCCATTGATGTCAATGGGAGTTGTACCAGAAATTCACTTAGTCCAAGTTGTCAGTTTTTAATAAATAAATAACCTAGTCTACTGTGTAAGAGGAAAGAAGGGAAATGGAGATCTGTCCCTGAACATTAACTCTCATTGAAGTTTTATCGGCCAAAATTCCATTAGGACTAATAAATGAGATTCTGCCCTCTACTGAGGACCAACACAAAGCCTCTGCACTAGGGGAGTCCCACTAAAGACTTCTCCTGAGGGCTTCAATTGGACTCAAATAGTGCAGAGACCTTCTGCATGGTGGTGAGTTCCATCCAGTGTGAATATCAGCTGCCCTCACACACCACAATCCCACCCAAATATGTCAGGCCCAGGCAACTCCCTCCATTTGTTTCTTTATTTTTTTTAACCTCTGTCAATCTGAAGGGAGACTGAAGGGGTATAAAGACATCTCAAGATCCTTCCTGGCATGTGGGACATCTTTGAGCCCGCAAAAAGGGCTTGACCATCCTACCTAATGTTCCTTGTGGCCCTCAAAATTTGGAACAAAAATAAATACTATCACTGCAAGACAAGAGTCTCACCAGTGCTCTGGCTCCATCCCCACTCCACTTATTATGTTCCTCACCATCCAAATGGTGTTGGGTGATCAGAGTGGAAATTTGCCCCAGTAATGGACAGGGACTAGAGAGAGCTCTGCATATCTCTGTGCAGACCTAACATAGGCTGCAGCAGATATGGGTGACTATCAGAACTTTCTGAGTATAGATGGGCCTTCACCAAATGCCTGACTCTAAAGACCCGTGAACTTTTGAGGTCTTTGAAACCTGGACCCAAATTTTGCTGCATGGGTCCATCTCTGCCTAATTTTGAACTATCCAAACTTCCTGATTCTGCAAACTTTGGCTGGAAGTCTTATGAGAACAAGATTTGTTGTGAGATTTCTGGTCTTTCCTGCTTCCAGATGGGATAGAAATATCATGAGCTAACTGGAGCCAAATAAAGGGACAATGAAAAATAAGAGAAATTGGGGAAATTGCCCAACTTTTACAAAGCTCAGAAAAATTCTGTTTTGAATTTTGTCTGAAATTCCTGTCTTGCTTTTTATTTAATCCAAACCAGTGTTTGTCTAGCTTTAGAAGTCTCTTGACTTTTCTTAGACAAGTTAAAAAATATTTGCATTGTTAGCTGAACAGGTGTTATTTTTAAATGTTTTGTTTTCTCGGTAGGAAACAAGACATATTGTAATTACTTCATAATAAAATTCCTGGCTTGGCTTTAATGGTTGAAATAATGCATTGCACCAGTCTACAACTCCCTGTGGGGTGTTCATGTTAATTCATGTTCCCTCGCTCTCTCTCATTGTAATGTAGCTGATTTAAAAATACATGAAAATATATCTTTTGTCTCCAATAATGAACTAGTTGTTGTCAAAGGAAGGTTGATTGCCATGGAAGAATTATTTTATCTTATCTCATACGTGGCAGGCACAATCAAAATTAGGCTAATTAAAAATATGAACCAGGTTCTCAGCTGGTTTGAATTAACTCTTCATTGATTCCAGTGGAACGATGATAAATTACACCACCTGAGCTTCTGATGCTATATTCTGTTAATTTAAAATAATCTTTGGACCCAGTTCTTCTCCCACATACACTGGTTTACAGTCATTGAAGTTTATCTTGTTTACAGGGGTATAAACCAGTGGGAAATTAGGCCCTTTGTCTTTTGGAAATCTCACTCTTCTCTCTGTTTGAGAAATGGGTACTGTAGGTCAAATCCGAACCCTACATTGGTGCAAACTCCATAATAACTCCATTGATTTGACCAGGGAGAATTGAATTCAATGGAGTTACAAGAGATATAAACAGGTGTAGTTGAGAACAGAATTTGGCCCTTTATATTTAGTTGTTTTAAAAAAAAAAAAAAATTACCTGTTTGGTTTGAATGATTATCCCTTACCAGCAAAAGATTTGTATCACTTCCTTAGGTTTTCTTGATAGAGGAAGATATTATATTTCCTTTAACCAGGAATCTTGGTGACCTAATCAGCTGAGGCCAAAGAAATGCATAACTGCACAAAATGATTAGCCTCATAGGATAGCCTGAAACTCAAGTTGCTTTGCTTGTCTCTAGAAGGAGCTTTCACTTCAAAATAGAACTAATGAAATGACTGTCAACAGACTGTAGTGCTAATGCTTTAATTAGAGCTCGGTAAACAGTGCAAAATAATATCTGTGAATGCTTGTTTAACTTTCCAAATTAATTCACTTCTGCTGTGTTTGGCCCCATTTTGTGATCACTTTCCAGGAATATTCTCACAAATGGCTGGAATGTTTGCCAACGTAGCCTTTCTAATTTTTAAGCAAACGATGAATATTAACGGACAAGCAAATTTTGCATTTGTAATCACAAGTATTTGCACTGGAAACCTGATTCCAGGACTTGAACGTGTCTAGGCATAGAAATATACCACATGGCCATTTTGAATATAGAATAATCACAAACCAGCTGCAGGCTAAGAAGGATTCAGGGAAATTGGTCAGTAAATTATCTCAAATAATGGATACATTTTGGAGGGGAAAATCACAATTTGAAGCTGTTACAGTTTTGATGTCATAGATGTATCAGCAAAAGACCTGCCTTTGTTACTGAGAAGGGAGGATTTATCTATTGACAGTATAGCCAGCAACCCAGCTGTCCAGCAGCTATGATAAGCATGTACCAAACAGCAACCTTCAGCACTGAGTCATTACCATGGGATTTGCAGAGCAAACAGTACCTGAAGGGTGAGTGCCATAAAGAAGGAAAATGAATATTTGGGTGGAGAAGATGGTTATAATGTATTAACCAGGCCTTATCAAGTCCCTGAAGTGCTTTGTCAACCTCCATTATAGAATGTACTCCTGGAAAAGTTGCACGGGAGTAGAGGGTGAGGGTATCATCTGAACTCTGGTCCTTTTATCCTGACTAAAGGGGCCAAAGCAACATAAAGGGGCTTGAAAAGGGAAGTTCCGTTGTGTAATAACTGGGGAAGACAGGCACGGCTGATTTCTGAGGAGTCCCTTGGAAGTCCTAATGTAGCGGGCATCCTAGAGATGGGACGGGTATCAAGAGCTGGGCTATAGCATATAGCACTATAGTGGTTCTGGACAGTGCCACTTCCCGTAAGCAGGCAGGGACAGGCTGCAGTAACTTAAACAGACCCTTTCTAAGTTGCACAGGGGCCACCCAAAATCAGACGGGCACAAAAGTAGCTTAAAGCCATTTTACTTCTTCCACTGAGCTATGAGTTCTACCACGTGCCTCTTAAGCAGCAGAGATCAAAATCACACCCAGCTGCATTTTTTTTAAATTAAAAAATTGCAAAAGATGAGCTCATTAATTAATACTTATGCATTACAAGAAAATACAGTTTGGTTTGTCAGCTAGCAAATGCATGGCCCAAGAAAAATAGAGTCTTATGCAGGGTGGAGATTAGACTCAGATAGGGAGCACCAAGCTGAAGCTGCCATGTGAGAATAATACAGAAGGCAAGGTATAGGATTTACTTTAAACTTAAGAAAGGATGCTCAGTAAATGAAACAAAGCCTTATAGCCAGCTCATTACATCAGGCCCAAAAATAAATTACATTTTCAACTTTCACTGCATTTTGTATAGTACTAACATAAAAGAAAACACTGAACTGAAAACTCCTAGGTACTGGTACAACATCAATTACTGAATTGTAGGAAGGCTTGAAAGTCTTGTAAGTCAGAGGAAGAATTCAGAGTTTAGACAATAACTTATACAGATACCACCATT